CTATCTTTAGAATTTCCGATATACAGTTTCGCGTCTTGGAGATAAAAATGGTTTTTTCCATCGTAGAGTGTTGCCATTGCTCGCTTTTAAATCGTTGAGTTTCTTAATTAAAAATTCGTTAAGGTTTTACAAAATATAGAATCTATAATAAAATTTCAAATTTGGGAATTCAGATGCCCATATTCGCAATAGGCTTACGTCCTTCAAAATTGGATGGCTCTAGCTACCGTTGTCTTATCAGAATGCGAGAAACATACATACATTTATGCAGATTCTTCAGTATTTAATTTCTTCAAATATAATACAGGGCGATAGTATTTGGTGGCAACGATTTGGAAAGTAATACAGTCTTTTAAAGTTTTCAGCGCAAAATCACAAGACGAAAACAATAGTCCTTCAGGGATAAATCCACTTTGGACTAATAAAAGAAGATAAACTATATCAGAAAATTTGAAATATAAAACTGCAGGTAGAACATGCAAAACATATATACTTCATAAATATTTTTAAATTTTTAAATTCATTATTCTGTGCTAAGACTTCTATCTTTATGCTTTCATTCTGTTTCAACAGAATGATTTCTTCGCAAGTTCTCCAAAGCATAATAAATCATGTTTGAATTCTTTGATTTGAAGGCTGCGGAGCTTATTTGCTAAGCTGCAAGAAATTATTCATGACTTTAATGACACACCCGTCGTCTTATCAAATGTTGATATTCTGACGAACGCCAGGAAACTAAGGAAAGCGTCTTCAAAGTAAGGGTTCGCTGTCTAAACGTCTCGTTAATGTTATTTGCTAAAGGAACATACCAATGTTTATAAAAGATGCAGACCATCAAACTTCAGGTGTATGTTGCAATATGTTACGCATAAATTCAGAATATTGAAACAGGATGTCGAAAATTATAAAGCAGACAAGACAGGTCTTAGTATTTCCATGACGTGAACCAAAAATACCGACGTGCGTTTATATGAAGAATGCCATTCAGGGTCGAAAAGTTCATACGACTGCATGCGCAAATATCGAATCTTAAAATTTATCCAAAAAGATTGCGTATGCATGTTTTAAAAAATAGCACAAAAGAATCCAAGAGAAATAAAAATGCGCAAAATGGGGTTGCTCCTTACTCAATTAACAAAAGAAATGTTGAAGTTACATTTCTTTTGTTAATTGAGAATTTTGTTAATTGACGTGTTAAGTGTCTGAGATAAAATTGAGATAAATATTAACATTAGTTAAATACGAGGCACTGAAACAAATACGCAAAATTTTCAAATGTCTCATGGTAACAGATTCTGATTTTCTGCAGGACAATAACAATTTCAGCTAAATTCAAAGAATGTTTTGAAAATAGTACTGCCAGTTTAACGAAAGCTTTAAAAAATATCTATTATGCTTTTATTATTGCGATACTAAAAGAAACCGAATGGCTAGGCTTAAACCTTGCAAAAATAGTCAAATGTTAAAAGCAATAATTTGTCTCATATTGAAGCAGTAGGAAGGGTATGGAAAATTTGATATCAGGCGAGAGTTAAAGATAAATGTCAAAAACAGAAGCTTGCCATGACAATAATTAAACAGAATTTCATCAAAGAATAAGAGACTATATACCAAATTGCTCAAAACTGTTAAATAAAAAAATCTGATGTGTACACCACATGACTTTCTTGTACGAAATATTAAATTATAAGCATTTTTTCTTGCATTTCATTTAAACTTATTGGATTGAATTAAACCTACTTCGCCGACAGCGAATAAACCACAATACAATAAATGCATTCTTTAAAATTAACTCTAGTATTTGTTTACCATAGCGATACTCTGGCGCTAGATTCACTTAACAGTATTAATAATTATATAACAGTTAATTTATATAATAATTAAACAACGGAAACTAAGTTAACTGTTATATACTCCAATAATTATACGAGTATAACAGTTAACTTATATATTTATTTCATATTATAACTCATAATGCACAAAATTTATATCATTTAAAGAATACAATTATCTAATCGTTGCCACATGTTCTATTCAAATACTATAATAAAGCTAGAACGATGTATAAAAGAAATTAAGCAAACAAAACAAAAAAGGAACAGTTTTCACAGACGATTGAGTATTTCTCATTCAATTAATTCAGTTCTCACTTCGAGAGAAGGCAAAAATACATAAAACTCAAAATATCTGTATTAAAAATTACGAAGTAAATCTTAAATACTTATTTCCTCGAAAAAATTCCAGAAAGAATTAAGCATGATTTAATTGGCAATAATAAATGAAGGCGTTATCTTTGTTGTTGCGAAGCTAAGTTTCTCTAGATTGGCAACAAATCCACTAGTCTCCTGTTCCAAATGTAAACATCAATGGCCGCCATAAAAAAAAAAAAGGCTTAGCGGCACTTAGACAACTTTAAAATTGTTGATAATTCTAAAAATATTGCATACAGATTTACTAAAGGCATAAAAACCTTAACCGGAAGATAAAAACAACATAATTCAATCATTTTTAAAGCAAAAAATGTACAATTTACAAACATAAGAGTAAAATTGAGCCGGGTAACAGAGTGGATATATATATATATATATATATATATATATATATTTATATACGTTTGGTGCGGCCGATTGCAACCAAAATACGAGGTGCACATCTACATGTTATAGCAGTCTATAAAAATTTCAACGTTCTGAGGCTACTCGTTTTTGAGTTATGCGAGATACGTACGTACATACATTCGTACAGACGCCACGAAACATTCTCTTCAGAATTAATTTTAAAGCAGTTTTATAATTTTTTTGAAGGAAAAGAGTATTTTATTCTGTCCTTACGTACAGATATTACGCAAAAACATCGTTAAATTGCATTCGATAGCTGTCAAAATGGATATTTTCGTTGAAATATGCTGCCTGAAACTTTTCGCGATTACTATACTTCCTTTTTACTTCGTATAGGGAAGTAAAAAGGGTTGTTTGGAGAATTAAAAGCATTTGGGCTTCAAATTGTATACCAAAATGACTGCTTTAAAATGCAGAAAAGGTCATAAAATTCAAGGAGAAAAACTGAATTAAAACTGGCAAAGAATTAGGTAAAACATCCTCAATTGTTAATGAATCGTGTTTAAATTTAATCTGAATAGTCGCATTAAATATGATTGCTTGACATTTCGTAACCCTTGCCTTTTGCATTTCAGAGTAAAGCTTAACGAAAAAAATTATCAAAAACAATATATGGCACGCCAGAAATGAAAACAGCATGCGTGTTAAAGATGAAGGAAGCATATATTTTATATGTTTATAAACTAGTCCGGTTTCGTAGAACTGTAAGTGGTTTCCTTCTTTTAAATAAGCATATAGATTCATTATATTATATCGATGCAGGAACGTGAAAAATAGGTAATGCCTTTGCCGGAATTCGAACACCGGACCTCCCGAAGTCCCTTCGAGCGGGTACACCACGAAGATACGCGGAAAGAAGGTAGAAAATATTTTATAAGTCTATAAGAGTATTTCATTCATTCCTTGAACATTATCATAAAAACGGAGATACTTTGTATGCTAACAGTAATTATATGAAAGATGTTGTCAACTATTTGAACAACCTAAAAACTGACATTTGTTCCAATCAAATAATGACTTTAATGTACCCCATTTAAACGCATAAGTGATAAGTGATAAGTGACGGAGGACGTGGGCACTGTCCCTTTACCTTAATGGTTAATCAGTAAAGCACCACGTCCGCCATTATCCAGACCCGCCAATGGGGTTTGCTGCCGTCCAACTGCCCGGGTCCCAGTGTTTGTTGATATCTGAGAAAAATATAAGTACATGGCCATACAGGGGCTTTTTTAACATGCTACTTTTACAATACGTTACGATACTAATGATTCAATTATAATACATTTAAAAACTAATTTTGAAGCATGCACTATATATTACGATACTGATTTATACAATTCATACATTACCAATTATACATTAGAGTACTAATTATGCAATTTCAATACATTATAATACTAATTATGTAGTACACACATAAACTTTACAGTGTATGTTACGATGAATAATAGAAACATTACCAATTATACAATTATTATACATAACAATACTAATTACATTACCAATTATACAATTATTATACATTACAATACTAATTACATTACCAATTATACAATTATTATACATTACAATACTAATTACATTACCAATTATACATTATTATACATTACATACTAATTACATACCAATTATACAATTATTATACATTACAATACTAATTCAGTGCTACTGCTAGTAATTCTGATAAATATTACACATAGTTATGCAGTAATTCTCAAATGTATTCTCAAGCATGTAAGTACATATTCAGCAATTTTGAACAGTTTGGCACTGATCAAGCCTAAGGCAGAAGGTATGTGCATGACTTTTATTATTATATTCACGCAAATAGACAATTGATTGATAGTGTATTCACTTGCAGGTGTTTTTTTCAAGCACATAATTACATGAACATAGTCAGTGTTACTAAGCTATTTGGCAAAGATCGGTGCCTAACGCAGATAGTTTGTCCATGATTTTTGTTATTTTTTTCCACAAGATATTTTTGTTTAATTATAAATTTACAATAGGCTTGTCTATTAAGCTCTGGTAAATGAACGTGATGCTGCTCTGTGAGTGGGCAGTCTGTGAGATAATGATCCGGGCTGCCTATATTACCACAAACACAATTATCTGTTTCTGTAATTCTGAATCTTTCAAAGTACTGTGGAAACGGGCCATGCCCTGAGACAAATCGGACTAACAGTGAATTCCCTATATTGCGTTCAAGATGCACCTTTGGAATAAAATAAGCTGTCCTTCGTCCTGTATTGCTGATATTCCATTCATTTTGCCATGTGTCAGTTGCTTTCTGCCTGAGTGTTTTTTTGAAGTGTGACATTGGCCAGAGTATATGATACTGCCTTATATTGTGTTCTGTAGGATTTTCAGCCGCTTGCTTTGCTAAAGTATCAGCAAATTCGTTCCATGCATGACCTGCATGCGCTTTGACCCATTTGAGGAAATATTGGCTATTGTAGTTTTTTCCCTTAGTATCTTTTGTATTGCAGTTACAATGGGAGAAGAGTGATCGGGATTATTGATCGCATGTATCGACGAGGATAAACTGTCAGTAAATATGATAGCTCTATTATGACGCTGTTCTACTAGGTAAGTTAATGCTTCTTTTATAGCCAACATTTCGCTCTGGAAGACAGTATTATTTTCATGCAAGTGCCCTTGCCAAGTATGTAGAATGTTTTGGTTAGCGACTGCAACAAATGCACTTCCTACGCCATTATCAATTTTCGATCCATCTGTATATAGGCATACTTTAACTTCTGGATCTGTTGCGTTTTGGTGCAGTATGCGGACTCCAATTCCTTTCTTGGCTGGATGTATTTGAACATTAATTAGAGATCCTTCATAATCCGAGGGGTTATAAATCTCATCTTTGTATTGAGTAATTTGACTTAATTGCTTCAATGTTTGCCTAGCTGCTGCCTCTTCTTCAATTCTAATGTGTAAAGGAAGTAGTCCGGCAAGCACATTTAAGGCATCCGTAGAAGTTGTACGATAGGCCCTAGTAATCAGTAGTGCAAATGGTCTTTGAATCATGTTTAAGTACTTGATTTTTCCGACCTTGCATTGGTGACGACGCCCATACAGCGCATCCATAGGTAATGATTTTTTCAATTACTGTTTGGAAGAGGATTTTCTGAAAATGGTGACTGATGCCCCATTTATTGCCTTGAAATTGTTTTAGATAATTGGCTATGGATCACTGCTCTTTGTTTCAGATTGAGGCAGGTGCGGAATCCAGGTGAGTTTGGTGTCAAAAATGACTCCCAGATAGCGCAAGGTTTTCACTATTTGTATGCGTTGATTGTTAATGCAAATTCTGGGCTGTCTGGTAAGTGAGCCACCTTTTTTCGGGAAAAGTATAATTTTTGACTTGTTATCAGCTATCTTTAATTTCCGCTCTAGACAAAGTTGATGAAATTTTTCACAGACTTCATTACAATTCCTTTGTATTTCATCGCGACTCTTACCCTTTACTATGAATGCTACATCATCTGCATACGCATGTATGCTTGCATATTCAGGCCAGGATGTCGCTATGATATCATTGAAGGTAACATTCCACAGATGTGGCCCCGCACAGGATCCCTGAGGACAGCCCATAGTTTGTTGGTTTTCCAATATTCCACTATTATGAACAATGATGAGACGTCTGTCAGAGAGATAGTGTGAAAGCACCTTAAAGATGTTGCTGGGGCAGTTAACTGATCTTAATGCTTCCTTTATTGCTGGCCACCATAGCATATCAAACGCGCTTTTTAAGTCAATGCTGACTAGAGCCGTGTGATAGCCATGGTTACGGTTGTCATAGATGGCCTTTTGTATATCATTTAATGCATGTAACGTAGAGCATCCTGTGCGAAATCCATATTGGCGTGGATGCAGATAATTTCCAGAGTGTAGATGATGGCGAAGACGATTCATGATCAATTTTTCAAAAATTTTCCCCAGGGATGGTAGCAAGCATATAGGGCGATAGGCCGAAGGGTCTTGAGGGTTGCGGTTCTTTTTAAGGAATAATACAACTTGTCCAACTTTGAAGGCCTGTGGAAATGTGCCTGTGTGTAACAGTTTATTAAATAATTTAACAAAGAATGGCAGGCA